CTTTGGAGTGTTTTTAGAGAATTGCCAAAAAAGGAAATTTTTAGGAATTTTGAGATTTGCGGGAAAGAGTTTTTTTTAATTTTCGATCTTAACTTATATTAGTTCATAAAAAAAAAGTACAGTGGCTTTTATATCAAACATAGTAATTTTGGTAATCTTGTCAATTTTTTTTTTTTTTGATATAACTAATTAATATGCGTATAAAAATATCTTATATACAGGGTGTTGCAAAAAAAATGGTAATTATATTTTTATTTATAACTTAACAAAAATTATTTTTTTAAAAAAAAAATGAATTTAAATTTAATTAAATTAACATCTATAAAATAATTTTATTTAGAATTACTTTATTAATAAATTTATAATTTAATTTGATAATTTAATTTTTAATAAAAATTTTATATTGTACTTTTTAGTTTCTATTTAATTTCTGTTTAAAAAAAAAATAATATATATATATATATATTTATATAGGTTTTGCTTTTTAAATAAAAGATTTTAAAAAGTAAAATAAAAAGAACAAGATAATAAATTAAATAATTTTTTTTTTAAAAAAATATAACTATTAATATAATAAATTTTTAATTAAAAATTTTAATAAATCTATATTAGTCACGGGACATTTCCCTTAATCAAGACTCAAAATATTATTTTTATAATACAATTTATATTGTGTGTAACAACAACGGGAGGGAAATGTCCCTTAACTGATATTTTTTAAAATATAAATTAAAAAAATTTTTTAAATGAATACTTATTTAATAGTTATAAAAATTTCAGTTATAAAAAATTTTTTTGCCATTTTTTTTTCAACATCCTGTACATGTTTTTATTTGAAATTTAATTTATTTAAAGATATTTTTATATACTAATTAGTTAGAATTTATTATAAACTAATTTACTATTATAATAACCAAATTAATATTATTTAATATAATAAAATTAAGTAAATTCCTCTGTTTCTAAAAAATATGATGAACCAATAGGTTATACTTTTATGCATGTACCACTCAAGAATTATCAAATGAAAAATTATGCAGTGGAATAACAAACAGAAAATACAATTTTACCAGCATTACCAAGATTTTATGCTCTCTTATCATTAATGATATCTCTTTATTACATACAAGTTTTATTACTTTATTTACCGAACCTTCCAATGCCTTTCTACAAATAGATAATCATGGTGTAAATATAATGTGAAAAACTACAAAAAAAGATAACAAATAGAGACGAGAATCCTTACTGAGGCAAGTATTCCTATAAAAGACCTTGTGGTGAATTCAACAAAGGTATTAATTTCATTAACCGTCTTTCCAAAGGTCGCGATATCTTGCAATCTCCTACTTAGAAATTGACGCGTCCCAATATAATCTGGTGATAGATCTTGTGTCATATACAATTCTAAATTGTTCAAAATAGTTTCACATGTTGATTTCTTACGAGCAGAACCAAACATTGACACAATACGATAAATGATCGACGGAGAACACTTTACCTGTAGAGGCATATATAACGGCAAGACTTCCTCTTTTTGTATACCAATTCATCTATCAAGTATCTGGCATAAGTATATGAAAAAGTCCACGCCAAATTAACAATTCTTTTTCATTGAAAGTGTCTTACATCAGCACTTTTATCACCGGCCAAATACCACATATCATCAACCAACTTTGCGAGATGTTCAACAGACATTGGCACATAAGCTGGATGTGACATCAGTGCAAGCGCCTACGAAATCAGTAAGATCGAATTAATGTTTGAAATAAAATATCTCTCTTGTTCCGTCATATTTCTATACCTCCGGCCACTTTTTAATATAAGGTTTTGTGAAATTTAACCTAGTTTCACATGCCAGCATAATCTTTTGTGGTATTCTTAAACTAAAAACAATTCAAATGCATATCATCAGTAATCTAATTAAGAAAATTTTGACCAAGATATGTCAATCACATAATTGGAGTATACTCACCCGTCCATCTTATTGTTCAATTCAGACACCATCTTCCTCCGAGAATCCTCCAAAAAGTAATCAATCAAATCCAAACCGCCTCTCGGAAATAGTCCATGGCTAACCGAAGGGAATCCCAGTGAATTTGCGCCATGTGATAACGATTCTACTGACCACCCATATTCGGGCACAAATTGTAATGAGGCTCGAAGTATTTCTGAGGGAATTGGTGATGATTGAGGTGATGGAGTTCTTATTATAAATCAAAGGGGTAAGGATAGACTGCGAATAATGTGTTATCGACGTTGTACACAACTCACCGTCTCGTTTGTGTATTTTGACTCTTTCTCGAGGTGCTTTCTTGTGAATTTATGACAGTGTTATAATTTCTTTCAATACGTTGCTTTTCATTAAGAGTTCTCCTATTACTAATGACGTGCCTTTTACTATTAAAACAAACAATATGAAGGGGGTTTGTTCGAGTAATACATTGAACGTTCGATCTCTTTACTATCAAAGTAAAACCCATCTGTTGTTAAATTTGATGACGTCCCGATTTACACATTAGAATTTATAACAACATGATTGGCTCATAAATCATTTATAAACTACCGTTCGGACCGCTAGTCACTTCTTTAAATTTTATAATTATAAAAAGATCGAACGATGGGTGTTCCAGCTCTTTTCAAGTAGGCCTCAATTTATTGCGCGATCCTTTCGTTAAGTTCTTAAATTTTGACTCGAGTTTGTCCCTGATAGATGGCTTTCCAAAAAATATCCAAAAATCATCGAAAAGGTTATTGAGGAAATCCCAGTTGAGATTAATGGAGTTGAACTTCCAGTGGATATTTCTAAGCCCAACCCAAATAAAGTAGAATATGACAATCTTTACTTAGACATGAATGGCATTATACATCCTTGCTGCAATCCTGATGACAAGGTTTTTTCCGATTTCACTTTGCTTAACAAAAATTCCTTAGGAATGATTTGATTCACAAGCTTCTTTGTATAGAATGCTCCCGCCACTGAACAAGACATGATGGTTGAAATATTCAAATACATTGAAAGAATTATTTCAATCGTGCGTCCCAGAAAGATATTATATCTAGCCATTGGTCTGGAATTTAAAGAATCAATTGATTTATACTAGTAGAGATCATTGCAATGATCTAATCACGATTTCTCTTTCAGACGGTGTGGCTCCTCGTGCAAAGATGAACCAACAGAGGTCTCGTCGTTTTCGGAAGGCACGTGATGACAGATGCAAATTAGAAGAAAAATCCAAAGAAATTGATAAGCGAGAAGGTAAATAATCCGAATAAGTGCTCTTTAACAATTGGAAACGAATCTTTCTTACATCTCTGGCGCATGAATAATAGCATCCGGCGTTTCGATCGATGAAGAACTTCAAAAGAAGGGATTTGACACGAATTGCATAACCCCAGGTAATAATATCACTGTCAATTACTAATTCTACCATTCGAAGAAATTTTATTATCCAACTGTTTGATTGAACTGTGTGAATTTAGGTACCCCATTTATGGCGTACCTAGCCAAATGCTTGCGATATTGGATTGCGGATAAACTAAATTCAGACCCCGGTTGGAAAAATGTATACGATCCTCGAACGCTTTATTGATATTATTATAAAGCATATTCATTCATTCATCATCATAATACCTTTTAGTTGAAAGTGATTCTTTCTGACGCAAGCGTTCCCGGTGAGGGAGAACACAAAGTAATGGATTTTATTCGAGCGCAACGTGCTAGTCCCCATCACGATCCTAATACGCGACACGTATTATATGGATTGGTTAGCTTTTTTGTTGATCTTATGATTTTGCAACCACAAATCGATTTATTTAATTCTAATACATTGATAAATGATAGGATGCAGATCTTATTATGCTTTCTCTTGGGACTCATGAACCTCATTTCAAGGTCTTGCGTGAAGATGTTTTCTTTCAAGAAGCATTTCGCGCATGCTTAATTTGTGGGCAAATAGGTCACCAAGCGTCACAGTGCCAAGGTACCCTTTCAATATCAATTATATTTGAGGCTCATTATATAAGGGGACATGTTTAATGCATGAAATTTCAGCTAATATATATTTATTATGTTCTTACAATAGGTCATTACGCAAAGAGTCAATCTTCATCGTCAAACGAAAAACCTAGCAAAAAACCTTATGTGTTTTTGAACGTGGAAACTCTTCGTGAGTACCTAGAAATTGAGCTTAAGACAAATTCTCAGCCCTGGCCTTTTAATATTGAGGGCGCTATTGATGATTGGATATTCCTTTGTTTCTTCGTCGGCAATGATTTTCTACCACATCTACCATCTTTGGAGATAAGAGAAGGTGCAATTGACACGTTGATTTCTATATGGAAACGTTGTTTACCTTTAATGGGAGGGTATATGACAAATAGTGGAAATGTAAGTTTCATAGGTTTTATATTTCATATATAATGTTTACTGGAATAAAATAATCATTTTTCTTTTTTTTAGGTAGAGCTAAAGAGAGTACAATATCTAGTCACAGAACTTGGTAAAATGGAGGACGATATATTTATTCGTAGGCATAACAGTAGGTTTCCAATTTACGTGATCTAAATATCTAAAAAAATTTTATTCTCATGACGCTTTTTATTTATTGCATAGATGATCAGAGGCGCTCAACACAGCAGCATGCATCTAAACGACGGAAAATAAAAAGTGATACACAAAATGATGTCTTAACTAACTCTTCGGTGCTTCCTCATTTACCCATCGGAATGCCACTTCTTCCTGTTAAGGGTGTCGATTCAGAACTTCGTTCGAAATCAAACCAAGAAGTTGTTGAAAATAGACAAACTTTGCGTATGGCTAATCTAAGCGCTGCTCGAAAGTTAAAGGCTGAAATGGATAGTTCTACAAGTTCAAATTCCGCAATAGTACATGATTTAGCATCCACTGAAACCACAATCGTGTCTTCCGAATCATACCAAGAGTCAACTATCACTTCCAAGGAGATACATGATGAGGAATTGAGTTCGCTTAATTCAGAAAATAGAAAAAGAAAGTCTGAACATATAGATGGTTCTCAAGTATCTTCTGAAGTTGAAGGTAAAGGCGAAGAAGCAGAAGAATTACCTACTTCGAATCAGCCCGATACAACTGAAGATGCCGATGTTGATGATCCCATCAGGTTTAACATTTTTTTCTTCATCAATTTTTTCCTGATAACAATATTACGTACCCTGTGCTCATCATTTCAACGTCAGGTTATGGGAGCCCGGTTTCAAAGAAAGATATTATAAGGACAAGTTTGATATCGACCTACCCAATGAAAGATTTTGTGCAGAGTGAGTTTTTGCATGCAGGATAGATTTCTTCTAGAAAGCATTTTGACTAAATTTTTTTTATCGACTCCATTAGTTTAGTTAAGAGTTACATTGAAGGACTCTGTTGGGTGTTGCAATACTATTTTCAGGTATTACCGCATTCATTATTCTTTTTTTCGCATGCAATGTATTTAATACTGACTTCTTTTTGTTCCAGGGTGTTCCATCATGGAAATGGTACTACCCTTACCATTACTCACCTTTCTCCTCAGATTTCGTCAACATTGGAGATATTCAAATTTCTTTTGAATTAGGTGAACCGTTCAAGCCTTTTGAACAATTGATGGGCGTATTGCCCGCCGACAGGTATTCAAGCTAGTGTAGAGCTTTTTTTGTGTGTGACAGCTTTCTTAAAATATTCACAAGTTGTTAATATTATTAGCAAGGATCATCTTCCAGAACCTTGCGGGAAATTAATGACTGATGAAGACAGCGAAATAATTGATTTTTATCCCACCGATTTCAGAATTGATTTAAACGGGAAGAAATATGAATGGCAAGGTATAAATGAGAAATTAACTTTGACGCTATCCTGAAAATTAAACTATTAACATTAATTGTAATTTATGCTTAAAGGTGTTGCGTTACTTCCGTTTATTGAAGAATTACGATTATTAAAAGCAATAAGCACCGTTTACCCACTACTTTCTCCCGAGGAAATTTTCCGAAACACTTTAGGTGCTGAGATCCTTTGTTTCAGTAACAAACATAAATTGTATGATGAACTATGCGCCTTGTATTCAAAAAGGAAAAACGATGAGGTAAACTTATGGAAAATATTTATCAGTTGTTTTAGTCCATGTTAAAGACAGTCTATTTTATTCCATTTAGCCTATCCCCTTGAATCCAACAATCAGTGACAAGCTAATAGGGTTTGTCTCGCGCGATCCCAACTGTATACCGGAAAGCACTTTCTATTCTCCACTACCGGAAAAAAACCTATTAGACATTGTTAATGATAGATCATTGAGGTAAAATATATCATTCTTCTTTGTTAACGGTCATATTTATACATTGATTTTACTCAATAATTTATTTTTTTTTAGTGTCCAATATTATCTTCCAAAAAAAACAAGCAGCAATATGCACAAATCTATTCTCTTAAAAAACGTTAAATTGGATCCGCCAATACTAGGGCAAGAAGATTATGAATTAATCAAATATGGCCGCGGCCGAGGAAGAGGCAGAGGCTACAATAATGGTCCTCCGAGAAATCATTCTAATTACAACAGTCGCGACTTGCCCGGTTATCAATACACGTCCGCCTATGAAAGAGAAAATCCACAATATCGATATGATAACTATCAATATCAATATAATTCATATGAAAATCGCGATGATTCTAGGTATTATTCCAACAATTATTATGAAAATAGGGATGCGTCCCGGCACAACCATTACGGGAAAGGAGGTTATCCATACAATATGAATGCCCGTGGAAATTCTCGTGGATTCGGTCGAGGTAATAGCAGTAACTATCACGCATACAGTGGTTATTCCCAAAACAACCACGGTGATCGATATGAATCTCAGAATAGACACAATAGAGACAACGAACGATAAGATGTTGTATTCTCTTAAAAGAATGTATATTGTAAATTTATATAAAATTATTGTTAATTTTGCAAAATTATTTTGTATTATAATTTAACATAATTTTGCTTTATGCATCAAGAGAAATCTTAGCATCGTTAAGAGAAATAATGTGATTGAATTTATTTATGTTTTTTTTAGAGTTTAATTTTTTTTTTTCAAATTTCTAAAACTTTAAAGTATTATTCATTTTTTAAATAAAGTAATAAAAAAACTTTTATAATCTCTTAGTACGATTATATTATTTGAACTTTTCTTTCTAATTTTTTTATCTCCGATAAACGTCATGCAATTACGATATCTTGTATATAATTTATATATAAAAAAGGCAAAAGAGAACTATACGTTTACACGTTTCTATTTACAGCCGCAGAGGGGGTGTTCTTTATGCGTCACCTGTGCAAATGCGCTTACAATTATTTCATTCGGTTTTTTATTTTTTTTAATCAATTTTTTTTCGGGGATTTTTTTTTGGAGGAAAGGGAAATCAAATCGAGATAAGGCGCGCAAATTCAAAAGCAATTATAATCTTTTGTAAGGAGCCGCCAAACCCTACATTCGTTCGATTTTTTTAGTTAAAATATAGTATTTCCTATACTATATTTTAACTTTTTTTTTGTATAGATAAGTATTTTTTTATTTTCCTAAGTATTTATTTTATTATATTTTGTTAAATATTAATTCTAGTAATCGGATATCGATAAATTTTAAATTAATATGAAACGAAACGTTTATTCTTTAGTTTGTATTAAAATTAAGTTTATAGAATATTTGTAAAATGTACTGTTACAGGAAAATAAGGGGCGATTTTCCACGCGATCCTATATTGGGTATCGTGATGAGGACAATTGGGATAATAAAAACATACATAAATATACCCAACTTAATAATAATAAAGGTAGCAAGTGTGCTTATTTAACGATTAAAACCTTTATCTATATGATAAACCCCTGTATTCTATTTTCCAGTGTTACATTTTTCATTTCGCCGTGATCCCATGAAGATCGACCAAATTTAATCACCTCTTTTGCCTACAAGACCAAAAGAAAGAAGTATTAGTGATGACACGAACCATATAGCTAAAAAGTGCAAAGTGGGCCTACTTAGCTGTTGTGTAATGTGTCGCAACAAGACCTGCGTGCAAGCGACAGACTCTCTGTTTCCCACTAAATTAATAAAAATAATAAAATGGTTAAATATTTTGGTTACATACTGTATATTGATTCGCAATGTTTTAAATAACAAAAAATTGTTCTTATCCAAGAAAATAAGTATATGTTTGTGTATTAATAAAAAATTTAATGGCATTTTTCTGGGACAGGCCGTCTCGGAAAATACGGAATTTTTTATTTTTGGAACATTAACATACTAATACTAATTACGCGAGATACTGATTCATTAAAACAACGCATTAGCAAGCTTGAGGCTGAGAACAATTATCTGTACCGCGAAAAATGTGATCGTGTATTAATGTTATGGCCTAATATAACTCATATATGTCAGATATAATCTATATGTGTTAGAGGGTTAATTTAAAATAAAAAACTATATATTGGTACCTTTCATTCAAATAATTATAATAAATTATCGATGATACAAAATTCTTTTTAAAAATAAGCGTTATATTTATTTCAAGGTTATATCAAAATTATATATAGTTTGTTTAAAAAGTTTTTGGACAAATTTTTAATTTATGTAAATTCAATAAATAACTAATAAAACAAAAAAATTTAAATGTATATTAATAAGAATATAAAAAACAAATTTACTGAATAGATTTTTATTAATACAATTTACGCTCG